TTTTTTTTTTTTTTTCCCTGTCTGTTGGAGATACAAAGTGAATACAATTCACGTTGAGCCCTACAATTAATATGGTTTGACACGGTCATTGGTGAGATGGGGCCTTGGTTATGCATACATTTTGCAATTTATTCTGGTATTCTGATTGCATATCAAACATAATAGGTTTCCCTTTAAAGGCGAGTATGTGTTTCATTGTTTTCTAATTTTGAGAACTTCAAGATCTGTCAACATGCCAAGTTAGATCTCCCACAACCTTGCTTGATAGACGCACCAGAAATAATGGATAAAATACAACAAATATATATATATATATATATATATATATTTTTTTTTTTTTTAATGCATAGCTGAGCTGACAAGAAAGTAAAAGAAACCCCTACTGGGCAAGGGAAAAAAAAGGCATAATTAAAACCAGAGCTATACTAACGTCGGAAACGGTAGACTTTGAGGCAAAAAATATCATCAGGGGTAAAAAAAGGTCATTACTGAATGCTGAGAGGAATGCTTCGCCAGGGAGACAGAAGAATTATAAACATATATGCATCCAATAACAGAACTCTAACATTTATAATGCGAAAATTGACATAACTAGTAGGAGAAATTGATAGAGATTTTTAATATGCCTGTGCCAGGAATTGACCATCTAAATAAAAAAGTAGTGTGTAGAGTTTTGGGCAACCTAATTCACCTAACTGTGGGCATGTGTACTCTGGAATCAGTTTTAGAGAATACACATTGTTTTCAAGCACACATGGGACATGTATAAAAATTGATCATGTATTAGACCACAAAACATCTCTCAAATACCAAGCCACCAAAACCCAAGATACTACATTCTCCGATGATAATGCAATTAAATTAGGAGACGACATAAGAAGGTAACCAGATTAATGAGTGCCAAGTGATATAACTGGAGCTCGACCAGAAATTGCAAAAAATGCTTCACAGGACTACGGCAAATAACTCTTTTCAAAAATAGGTGAATGGGCCGTTTTCTAGGGAAAACTAAATTTACTAAAGCTAACCGGAGAACAAAAAGAGGGTCTGAGGAGACATAACCGTTAAAGAGTGGGCTGGTGTTGCCACGTGTCCTTTTGGCCGGCTGAACTACATTTCTCAGAATTCCCCTGTCTCACGTGTTTCTGCTTAAGATGGGCGGCCAGGGAGATTCTTGAGTGGTCGGGAAGGCAAAGGAAAGTGGCGGTCGTGGCGTGGCTCCCACACGCTGTTGCTGACCCGCGAGTCACTTTGTTGGTGTGGAGGGGCTGCTAGGCCGGCACTTGCTCTGAGTTGCCCTGGGTCCTCTGTCAGCTTCTTTGATTCCTGGCCCAGGCGTGTCTTAGCTCCCGGCAGAAGGGCCCTGGCTTCTGCAGGATGACCTCGTCACCAATCACCAATCACCAACAGCGGAGACTAAGAGTGGGCTCAGTGTTCAGTCCGCTCTTGTGGAGTGCCAGCCTGTGCTCGTGTGTTCCAGCCTGCTTCCCTTTCTGCCTGCCCACCCCTGGACTCGGAGCTCCGACACCAGGTACGGCGGCTTCCGGAGCCCGCTTAACCAGCTCCCGCATTTGCATAAGCCCCTTCTAGTGGTTTCGTATGTATACACATACACACATGGATCGTCCCGGCTCGGCCTCGGGTTGAACCCCGACTGATACAAAATTTCGCGCCGAGAGTGGTTCCAAAAGAACAGAATCTTAATGAGTGCTCCGAATGTGTACAACCTGATGTATCTGGAGCCCCTGCCCCGTTGTCTCCTATGAAAATCCGCGGATGATCCCAGGATAGCGGTTTTAAGGCAGTCCGGCATGAGTCTTTCTTTTTGTTGCTTCCTGAATAGCATTTGGTTATTTCTTCTTGGCGTTCTTTCTGGAACTCTCATTTTCTTTCCTGGGCTTCCAGTCGCGAATGAATTATTTGCCTTTGTTGGAATTTTCACCGAAAGAATATACTTTGATTTTCCTCAAGATTGGTAACTAATGTCTATTTAGTGCCACGATTTTGTAGTTTTGTGCTTTGTGTTGGTGATTTCACCGTTGAAAGCGGCCCTCAAACATAGTGCTGAAGTTCTTGCTGGTGTTGTTCCTAAAGTGCAAGGAGGCCTTGGCGGGGCGGGGGGAGAGACAGGTGTTTCAGAGAAAACAGGTGCGTTAGATAAGCTTCCTTCATCCGTGTTGATGAATCATCTATGTGTATGAAATGGGGCGTCTGTGAACAGAAACACACGTACAATGAGGTTATGTTACACACGTACAATGAGGTTATGTTACTGATCATTTGACGAAAATCTTGTGACCGAAGTCTCGCAGGGACCGAGCCCTGTATTTCCCCAGGAGCGCTGCTTCAGTGTTCACGAAAGCAGTGGTTGCCGCGATTGTATGGAACACAAATACTACAAATAACCAGAATGGACTGTATTCTCAAAAAAAAAAAAAAAAATGGTTTTCCAGACCGTTAAGCTCTTTCATCCGCTGGAAATGATTTTGGGGTGTGATGTGGAGGCACCGTTTATCGAATAGTTCGTTCTTTTTTTTTTTAAATAATTTTTAAGATTTATTTAGAGGGAGAGTGTGTGTGTGAGTGGGGTGGGGGAAGGCAGAGAGAGAGAGAGAGAGAGAGAGAGAGAGAGAATATCCCAAGCAGGGTCCGTGCTGTCAGCACAGAGCCCTACACGGGGCTCCACCTGGTCAACCTAACCGAGATCATGACCTGAGCCAAAATCAAGAGTTGGCACTTAACCAACTGAGTCACTCGGGCGCCCCTTGAATAGTTCATTGTTTCCCACTCGTTTGAAATGCACCTGTGTCATATAGCAAGCTCCGTTTCTAAGCTGAGGATCCGTTGGTCTCTGGTCTGTCTGCTCACAAATACCTCACGTATTTTAACGCTCCAGCTTAGAGTAGTCTTTGTACCTGCCATTAGGAGCCCCGACCCCTCCCCGATCTTTATTCTTCGTCAGAATGTCTCGGGTCCTTTAGTCCTCTGTATACATTGTAGGACTTCTGTGAAGGAGCCACCCAGGCGCCCCTCTTACAATCTTTTTTAAAAGATTTATTCCCAGATACATTAAGGGGTCTCACCTATTTCTTTCAATTTCTGCTGGCTCTTGTTTTTTGTTTTTTTTTTTT